ACACAATTATTATTGCTCATGGGCTGTTCCTGCTTTCCTCCATTCAGTTGGCCAATTTGCTATGTGCCGTCCAAATGGGGGTTAGTCATGCGGCTTTTGTTTGTATTTAGCGTGGATTAGAGTGCAAATTCCTTAATCCTATCCTGACTTAAATTTCGGCGTGCCCATGCAGCCTCGTTCATAATTAAATACTCGCTGTCAAAATGGGCTCTGATTTAATTGCATATTAAGGGGCGAATTGGTAAATGGATCAGGGAATTTTTACGAGAATTGACTTCTCTCCAACAGTGCTCCAATTTAATATTTGAATGCTTTTGTTTATCGAGTCCCACTTTACACACCAATTCGGTAAATTGTTGTGCGCTGTAAAGCCATTTAATACCAGTCAAAAGCTCAAAAACTTGAATATAAAAATAAAAAATGGTTTTGAAAAATATTTGCAGCAGGCAGTTAGTTAGCTGACAAAGCCTCCAATACCAAAATCTCTCTTAACAATCAGCTCCAGCTCCACTCAAATCGCTGTTAATTGGTGCGACGCAGCCAGCTGGGAACCTGTTCTAATGGCTGCCATATGCCACTCGAAAAAATCTAGAAAGAACTGAAAAACAATTAAGAACAATTCACACTGAAATGAAAAAGAAAGTTAAAGCCAGTTGCGTGGCACTGCCGGACTGCAAAATACCCTTCCACGGAATTGATATGCCGCCGGAATTTCCATATACACAAAACAATGAGTAAAGAAATAATATAAAACCTTTTTCAGTCATCCTTTATCGTTGTTCCGTGGAGTTAGATACCTAAGACACGCCAATGTTAAGAAAGTTTCTGGTTTTGGAATAAGTCTCTCTAATCTCTTTGAAAAAGTGGAAAAGTCTTAATAGAAAACGGAGGTCTTGCAAATTGTTGCTGAACTTATCATCTTATCAATGCTGGTAAGTTTACAACTGCATCGTACAAGTACTCCATTTTGCAATCTTTGTTACCTACGACTATTAGTGTTATCTTTCAAGTCACTTCATGTGAGGCCCTAAATGAAAGTGTTTAAATTGTGTGTGTTTGTGTGGTTTGCTTTCCACTTATTAGGAAAAGTGATATATTCCTATGAAATTATGCACATTCTGTTGCTCTGTTGGTGACAAGGAGTTAATTCGCATCAATAAATAATAAAATAGAGTAATATTATAATATTGATATATTGAATAATATTATATTGATTCACGAGAACTTCTGATAAGAATAGTCAGAAGTAGCAAAATTTTATAAGCTATGAAATTTCCAAATATGTAAATATGAGAGATTTCCTTTCGATTAAGTAGTATAAATAGCATTAGTAATAGTATTAGTATTAGTAATATCATTAATATCTGCTAATAGTTAAGCTAATAGTAGAAGTAGTCACACTAAGAGTAATAGAAGATCTTTACAATATCAATGATTTGGGTTTTCGCTAATAATCAGCAAAACAAGCTCTATTACAGATTATCTACTTTTATGCCATCTGTCTTAATGAACTTAGCTATAGATATGAGTATATATAAATGCCACCACTGAACAATTATTTCTTGCTCAAATAAATAGTCTACTGGAAAAACGCCCCACTACAGATTATCCGCTTTGATGTTGCCCAATCTGTTCCTTTGGGCGCACGAAATATACCCCATTGTTACCCATTTTGCATAGATCTAGGGTATTACACCAAATCCCAGCCAGTTTCCGTTCAATTTTTGCGTGCCGCACACAAAAATTGCATCAAATTATGAAAGCAAAAATTTAATTACATCTCAACCGTGCTCTTCCCCCTCGACAGATGGGCCACACCAAAGGGTGTGTGTGTGTGTGCCTGCGGCAATGGCAACATGTGCTACAGTGGAGCATCCTTGAGGAGCTGCCCAAGCAAAAGTACATGGCGGCTGAAAAGCCTTTTGAGACACACAGATGCGAATGCATTATGCCACATAAACGATGCATTTTCGAACATTAATTATTGCCAAGCAGGCAGGCAGGCAGGCTGGCAGGTAGGGAGGATAACAGATGCATTCTGCAGTGGGGCTGGGCCTGCACTTGAAATTACCATAAAAAGATGCACTTAAGGGTTAGCAATGAGCAAGCAACAAACAACAAACGACAAACAACAAAATGCGTAGCCCAGTCGACCCAGTGGCGGGTGGGGGGAGCACTGTCATCTCGGGTCGTCCTGGGTGTTGTTGAGTGCGAATTTGAGCTAAGCGCGCCTTGGAGCGCAGAAATCCGAGCAGTCAAAGGAATATGCCGAATCGAGGTGCGAGTGCGACTCTAGCTGCAAATAACGCAGCATTTGTAGATGACAGCCTGACTGACGGATGAGCGACTTGGGTTTGGGATTGCAAACAGGGTTGGAATTTTGGTCCTGGCTCGGCGACGCTGGGCGGCTGCTGCTCGCGTGGCCGGCGCACTTCTGTCCGAATTGCTTTTCGCTCAGCTTTCGGCTTTCAGCTCAGAGCTCGCAGCACTGAGGGCTCAGTTCTTAGTTCTCAGTTCTCAGCTCTCTGGTCCGTTCGGTGCGTGTGCTATTAATTCTAAGCTGCATGGCAAACACAGATTCCTGCTTCGAAGGGGTCACCACCCCGCCACGATCGACAAAAGCAAATGCTGCTGTCGCTCTGGGAATACTTTAAACCCAATTGGGGTGGTGACAGCGCCGTTGCTATTGCCACGCACGTGCCTACCGTAATACAACAACAGCAGCAGAGCAGCAGCAGCAGCAGCAGCTACAGCAACAATGGCGTCATATTGAACATAATATGCCATATTTGTGTTTGGTGCGAGCGGTACGGCCAAAAGCCCTTCACGGGGAATCGAAAGTGCATTCCCTTTCATGGCAACCACGAGGACAGCGCCGGCAACGGCGTCGCATTTCGATTATATTAATGCAAAGCACACACACACACACACACACACACACGCGCACATACACTCCAAGCACTCTGACAATCGCTTTGTGGTGGCTGAGCAAACCAAGCTGTGTCTGTGTGTGTGCGCGCTATGTGCCTACCCCACCAAAAGGAAACTTGACAAGCTTACAGCAGGGCTGCGTCTGTGCCTGTGTGCGGCGTCTATGCGTAGTGAGCACGGGGCGGGAGCGGGAGCGGGAACGGAGCTGAAGTCGTCGACACAGCCAGAGCCGGAGCCATAGCCAAATGAAAACCTGAAAATGCACCAAAGGCCAAACAAATACACGCAGAGAAATTACACATGTAATATTTTATAAAAAATACGTTAAAGGGATTTTGCGTGGAAAAGAGAAGAAACTTTATGTCTTTTATTTACTATACCCTGATAATATTAATATATATTTTGTATTAATTAAAACTATACTGTAAAAGTTAATAAATCTCATTAATTACATTGATTACGATCATGTTTAAATACCTCTGGTTTAATGCTGCCAAAAAGAAATTAAGTTAGCTTTAGATATACACACATACATATGTATGAAAAATGTTACTGGAAGACAATTTTTTACTTTATTTAATTTAAAAAATTTTTTTTTCGCGAATATCTTTGTAAATTAGCTTGCAATCAATTAAAAACAAATAAATTAAGTATAAATACTAGGAAGGGATGGGAATTATTAAATAAAAATTCAAAATTTATAAATTCTAAATTTCTATAATAAAAAATTTATTTCTTAAGATTTCCTGTCTATTAAATTAAAAAAATTCTCTTCTATTAATAAAAAAAAATTATGAAAAGCATATAAAAAGTGTTTTATGCGTGCTCCAAGCTATTTTATTTATTACTAATTTATATTAATCATCATTATTAATTATTAATTGTAATTTGCAGATTTCTTTAGCAGAAAGACAGCTGAATCATATAATTATTATTTGGATTCTAAAACTATTAATTGGGCTCGGTTAGGCTTAGAGCATTGTAAAAGCGGCAATTCGTCTAAAGGATTAGCCATACAAGATATTTTTGTTTGTAATTCAGCTGCGGTCTTTACCCCGTTGCGGTCTTTATACGTTCTCACGGTGTATCTCTCTGATCATGCTAAGCTAATATTTATGCATAGCTTAGGCATAAAGAAAAAATAATTTATCGTCCGATTAGTGAATATACACATAGTCAGCACAGGATATATTCTCTCTTACTCAATTAGTTCTGTTTATCAAGTTCATTCAGTTTGTTTTAATTTATTTAAAGCTAAACGACAAATCTGGGCAGGCTAACGATATGAATTAAATTGTCTGATTCGGTGCAATTTCGTTGATCATAGGCTTTCAACAGATTCTTCTTACACGCTAGTTAGCGCCCGCTGAGCATGAAAATGCTTCGAATGGCCGCAGATGTTTAAGAGTCCTGCACAACAAGGCAACACAATGTGGCATCTCGCATACTTCAGGTCATTCTGGCCCATTGAGTTTCTGGTCGTGCGCACATTTCGCATTTACCGCCGGTTTCATGGCTATCAGCTGTTCGCCAGGATCAACAGAAAGGATCCAAAGGGATCTTTTGTGCCTTGCCAAATTTCCATGAATCAGAGTATTTGCAAGCCAGACGCGAACATGTGTTGCAGTTCCTGTCGCGTGTCCTTTTTAGGTGCGTGGCAGCTCGGAACCTGAGTCACAGCTGCAACATAGAATAGCTACACAATGATTTCTCCAAGTGCAGGCAGGGCACAGTGCAAAGGACTTTCACTGCCAACTGCTGCTGCTGCTCCCCCCGCGCCTAACTGCGTGTGTGTGTGTGTCTGGCTGGCTGGCTGGCTGCCTGGCTGTATGGAAAAAAGGGTGACTAATGTGTGTGATTGCTAACAAAAGATTCCGGCTTTGCGGCAGCGTCGCTGCCAGCGCCAATGCCAGGCGTCGACTGCGGCAGAGCGAGGCAGCAGCGGCGAGGGCTAAAAGGACAACGACTCGAATTGGGGGATGAAATTTCCAAGAGCGACGCCGTCACAACACACAAACAATGATTTTAATTTCGCTTTCCTTTGGCACACATAAATAGAGGCGGCAGGATATGCTGTTAGTCATTCGCAGCAAATACGTCGAGCCGACAGGAAGCAGCCAAAGGAGCGCTCAACGTTGCCAACGTTTCAATTTGTTGTTAAGTTTTGCTTAGTTCTTCAACTCTTTGTTCCTCCCGTTCACCGTTCATCATTCACCGTTCATCGTTCATCGTTGTCCATTCACCGTTTACCGATCCCCGTTTCCGTTTATCGTTTCAATCCAGTTCTTAAAGCGCGTTCAAGTTTCAGTTTATCATCATTTCGTTGATACGCGGAACAGTGCAATGGCCAGTGTTGCCAACCATCAGCCGGCAGGAGCCAACCACAGCCACCACCCCCACCCCCACCCACACCAACACCCACATACACACAGCATACAGCTGCTGCACAATGCAACGGCTGGCGGACTGCCTCACGGCCTGGGGCTGCTGACCACAGTGGCCTCGCTGCCGCCCAAGTATCGCAGCCGTTATCTGAACATTAAAACCAAGTGTGAAATTCCACTGGATCTGTCTGTGAAACCGCCATCGCCAGTGCCGTGCGGTGATGTGCCAATGACGACCGCACTCGCCGAGGCTCCCAGCGAGCCAACAGAGGCGGCGACTGCAGCCACCGAGGTGATGGAGCTGGCGCAGGAGGTGGCGCACGAGGAGGTCGTCACTACAGAGAAGGCCATGACACCGCCACAAAGTCCAGTTGCAGATCCCGTTCCAGTTGGAATGGCAGTGGCTTCACTCAAGCGCAAGCTGAGCGAACAAAGCGAATGCCTGCCCGCTGCCAAATTGGCCAAATCTGACGTGAGTCCCGTCGCGCCCGTAGATGCCACGCCCGCCAAGCCCATTAAGGTCTCGGACACGGCACCGCGAACCAGTAAAGCATCCACGTCGAGTGGCAAATCGACGCGCAATAAGGCAACGCGCAAGCTGAAGTTCGACGAGGAGACCAGCTCGCCCGTCTCGGGGACCATAATCAGGCCACTCGAGGACATCACCGATGGCACGATGCAGTACAGCAACGGCGACATCGATCCCAAGTACAATATTGTCGAGATTACCGAGGAGACCAAGGCGGAGCTGGCGGCCATTAAGAACGTAATTGGTGACTATGTGTGCCGGCTGTGCCGCATCAAGTTCGACGATGCCTTCGGCCTGGCGCGCCATCGCTGCGCCTGCATCGTGCTGCTCGAGTACCGTTGCCCCGAGTGCGGCAAGCAGTTCAATTGCCCCGCCAACCTGGCTTCGCATCGGCGCTGGCACAAGCCCAAGAAGGAGGCGGCCGCTGCCAAAAAGGAGAACCGCAACACCAGCAACCAGGAGGAGCAGCAGCAACAGCCCATCGCCGCCAGGAAGCCAGCCGAGTCAGCCGAGCTCGCCTTCGACTGCGCCGAGTGCGGCAAGAAGTTCAAGCGGGCCGCCTACTTGCGCAAGCATCAGCTGACGCACGCCAAGAAGACACAGGCGCGGGCGGCTGAGCCGGACTCTGAGTCGGAGCGACAGCCGGAGGCAGCCACCACGATAACTGGCAGCTTCCAAACGACGGTCTACAAATCGAACAGCTCCAGCTCGGCGAGCAGCAGCTCCCACTCCTACACGGGCACGCACGAGGACGAGGGCGTCTACGTGGCTGGAGCGAGCAGCAGCCATTACGACTACGAGGGCGATTACTTGTCTGACTGCAGCTCCTCGACCTCCTCCGCAGGGTACGGCCGACTGCAGATCGTGGAGCACGGCCTGACCGAGGAGGAGAGCATTGCGGCTGCTGCCCTGACAAATCTCCGCAACTGCGCCTCTGTCATCCAGCACACGACGATGGCGCACTGAGTAAGTGGGACACAGCAAGAGAGAGGGAGGGAGAGAGGGGCACACCTGGGCCCACTGGCAACTGTATAATTTGTTCATAATCCCCTATTGTTAAGTTTAGTGTTTAATTCGTCTCTTGTTTAGAGGGAACTGCAGCTGAAACAGACCAAAGAAATTAGTTTTTACATTCCGAATTCAACTTTGATTGAGTTTACTCTAGTTTAGTTACTAAAAGTTGTATCTCTCAGTTTGTAGTCGTTTAGTTCTTATCTTATGATGGGTTCAATTCTAGTCAGCTCTATACTTCAATCGGCATTCCACTGTTGTATTTAGTCACTCGAACCAAAGACGGCAATCTGTCTAGTCAGCCTAGTTTTAGTTTAATCTTTAGAGTATATTTTATTAGTATTTATTTGTGTGGTCAGTCCAGCAAATCAATTGGCACTAGTCAGTCAGCTTCAATAAGATCTCATTGGAAATGCGCAAGGCAAAAGGTTGTCATTTCAGACCAAGCCAAGGCGCGTTTCATCTAGTCAGTAAACCTCTAGTCATTTAGATAAAGTCTAGTCAGCTTTTAGTTAACAAAAGGCAATAAACCAAACCAAAGCATCTTGATTTACCAGGAATCTAAACGTTCTAGTCTAAACTCTAGTCAGCTTTCAGTTAACAAAAGGCAATAAGACAAACCAAAGAATCTTGATTTACCAATAATCCAAACGTCAATACTAAGCGAACCATAGAACTAAGTAATCCAAACTCATCTATCTTTGATCACTTTCAATTTCTATCAATTTCTATATCTATCATTTTCTATCCATCAATTTCGGTCAATTTCTATAAATTATCAATATTTCTAACTATTTTACTAAAACCAAAATCTTCAATTCCTTATATCGCATTTTCCTTTTAACTTTACTTAACTTTGAATTCAACTATCTTCCTCATTGTCATTCATTCCATTTCATTCTCTAACCATATTTCCAATTCACATCATTCGTACATCTAGTCATTAATTTTTCATTATCTAGTCATTCGATTACTTTACCTTCACGTTCATTCATACATCACCATCTAGTCACTAATTTAGGCATTCCTCTAGTCAACCTTTTTGGCATCTCATTAATATAATCGCTTGCGTATGCAGTTTTAGTTTAACTTTAGGAACAAGGCATTTCATTTTGTTTATTTTTCAATTATTTTCTCTTTTCAAAATTTCAAAAACCAAAAATCGAAATTCAGGCGAAATTGTGCAGTACTAGTCGTAAGTCCAAGCAAACCAAAAAACCAAACAAGAAACCAAAACTCTAAACTAAGCAATGAAATCCAGTCTCTGAGCTGGTAACCAAAGTCGAGTGTGAACTCTAGTCATTTTGTAGGACACTAAGATTTGAGGCAATAACTCAGCATCAATTAAGTTTAGTTTAGTTTAGTTTAGTTCACTTAGCTAGTTAGTTATTTTGGTTAGGTTAGTTTACGTCACAAAGAAAAGAAAACAAACGGACATTGAACCAGCGTTTCACTACCAGTAAAAGTATTTAAAGAGTACAACTTAAGCTATAGACAAGAAAACCCTGTACATATAAGACGTCTACTTGGCCAGAGGCAACAACAGAACCCGCGGTTGTGTACTTACAAGTCAACTCTTAGCTCTTAAGCAATATCGAAACAAAATCCGAGCAATATCACAGCGCTATTGTTCCTTAGTCTGTAGAATGCAATGCAATTGGTTGTAACCACAGAGTACAACGAAAATGGGAAAAATTCGCTCAATCTACAATATAGATCATATACATATATATATATATATTTATATTTATACATATACTAGCGATACGTAATATATCACTGATAAGCATATCTAACTATTAAGTGAGATCTTGTGATACTAAGTGTTAAGCCTAAAGTTTACAACGACTTGTGCTCGACGTTTTTGTCTGCGCGCAGTGCATTTACAATAACAAAACGAATTGGATTTTCTACCATAAATCTGACGAATAATATTATATACATATATATAACTATTTTTATACGTAATATTTTTATAAACTATTTTGAGAAATTGTACATTTTGGAATAAAAAACATATTAAATAAAACTGAATAAAAACGGGAAAATTTGAGAAAATTCTGGAAGTCAATGCGCAGTTTATATGGCTATAAAATTGAATATGGGTTGCTAGGCAATCCTGCCCTCTTTAAGGGCAACAACAACTGGTGGGTAATCACTTTATAATTGTGGCGCTAGTAAACACTTCTTATATGAAGTCCTCACATCCAGCTCGTGCACATGCCTGACAATGGGCTTTCCATTTGACGGAGGGTTGAATCGAGACCCCCATGGTAACTGAAACGGGAATTGGTTTTCTGTCTATTCACGATGATGAAGGAGGCGTTTCACTATCTTTGTGTCTTGGCAATTTTCTCATCATGTTCAATGACCATTTTTGATGGCTCGTAAAGTAACTGCAACTGATGGGTAAACAAAACCGCAGCAATAGCGCCGGCAGAGGCACAGGTAGAGGCAGAGGCAGAGGCAGAGGCAGAGGCAGAGGCAGCAACATCAACAACGCTGCAGATGTAATGAAATGCCACTAAAGGACATTGACATGGGCCATCGATCTCCACTAGGCAGCACTTAAAGCAACTAAAACAAATATCCAAACAAACATATAAACACACAAACACACACACACACACATAGACACACACTCTCATGCATGAAACTTCAATAGCGGAAGTGGACAGATGCAACTTGCGCCTAAGCACACAACAAGAGCAACTGCGAGAAGGAAATGCCTCAGCAAGGGGTGCGTACCGAGCGGGGTTGGGCTTCGCTAGGCTGGGCCGGGCTGCGCTGTGGGGGCGGGGGTGGTGCGCTGCTGGACCAAAACGCGCTGAACACGCCAACTAATGATGCCCCGAACGGAAGTGCGTAAAAAATGTTTAATCAAACACAAATGCATGACAGCACGGAAAACTGACACGAATAATGCAGTAGAGTCGTGACTATTGGATATCCTTCAAAGATCACCTAAAAAAAGAACTTAAATGCATATCAGAAAATTTTAAATAAATGTATAATTAAATTTATGTGTAATTCAACTTTACATTGGGTATTTCTCAAAGTTGAGAAAGTGTATGTGAGAGAGAGAGAGAGAAAGAGAAAAATAGAGCCTGTATTTAATGAGGATGTATATAATTTTGGGTTTGTTATACGGATTTTTTTCAAATATCAGAGAGTGAGACAAAAAGATAGCGAGAAAAGATCGAATAAAGGAATAAGAAATGAAATCCTATATTAAATTCTATTTAAACAGAAGGTTTCGGCTATATTATAATTTTTTTTTAATTTGACTTTTAGATATTTTAACCTTTAGGATTATTCAAATTTTTTTAAAATGGCTAGGAATACTGGCTGCAGTTACGTTACATTTATAAAATATATTGAAATGTTAATATTCTTATCAAAAGAAGAGATCGTTAAACCCATAAAAATATATTACAATGCACTCATATTATTAAATAGTTGTTAGGATGTTAAATAGCTTTAATTCAAAGGAGTTTTGGAATATCTCTGATGCATCTGAATATCCCTTTCATGCTGTAATAAATTACAGGGTATTGTTGTGGCACTGAAAAAAGCCCGACAGCCGGCGTCGAGCTGTGGGTGGGGCAGCAGCCCATCGTAGCGTGAGCGGCGTGAATCAATTTAAAGCGTCAAAAGAGCCATATACTCTATTAGTAGATGTCCTGCACGGAGCGAAAGTTCAGTGCGCACAGCAAGCGAAGGGTGTTGGAATTATGTAAAATCATGCCGAAACAAAAAAGGAAACCTACCCTCACCCTGCAGCAGCGCACTGACAGGGGTGCAGCATCATCCATCCTTCGCCTGGTTATTGAATACTGCAACGCGGGTGTGTCCACAAAAAGTCAGCCAGGGCAGGCGGAGTCATAAAAATGTGTGCCGATTGGGTTTCAGAAATAATAAAACGCGGCATGTAAACTGATATCTCAGCTCGTGAAACGGCATTTGCACCTTGGCACGAGACACAGGGCGCACAACAGGAATATGGGCATGGCCATGGGCAGGCACATAAATACCTTTGCTGGCAAGCCCGCATCTGGTGCACGATCGGCCGCATAGCGGCACTGCGATGTGCAACACTTTCTGCGGGCTGCGCCCGCTGCAGCTGCTCTTGCAGCTCTTGCTAGACGGCGATGATATCTAATTATGAGTTTGGGTCTGGCGACCTGCGGCGGTAATTTGGCCACCTTGAGAGGCTGCTCGAGCATTTGTCGCACTTGAGGTCCTTGCGACATGCAGGCGCTCTGTTCGGCCTGAGTGGCCGTATGTTCGCTTAAAATGCAAAGAGTTGAGAGCAGATTGATGAGGCTGATTGGCTCGAGCGATGAGTGGACACTTGAGCAGCCTGTGTGATTACCATCATCGTTATCCTTATGCCGGCTTAGCCGTTACAATTGCTGGCGAACTAGCGAAAGCTCGTTCCGCTTTTGCGCAGTGTAAATTCGGGCGTTTGCAACTCTGCGCGGCTTCGGGCAGCTGCGGTCGAGCAACTCTGCGGCCAGCGAGTTGGCAGGGCTGTTCCTCGAAATAATAACGGTAAAAGGGACTTTTTCTCCGACTGGGACTCTCACTGTCTCTCTCGCGCGCTCGTTGAGCACCTACGCTCGGGCAGGCCGTCGTCGATTTGGCCAGCCAAGGAGCAGACAAAATGGAGCCGGAATCCACGCACACCTGACATTCGTGTTGTGGCGACGCTGTAAGTCAGACGTGTTGAGCGCAAGGCAGCTGAATAAAATTCAAACCGAGTGCAAAGTTGAGAACAGTTTTAAAAGTTGCCCGCTGGCCAAGTCGCGTTGAAACGGTAAAATGATATGTGAAGCTTCGCACAGCAACGGCGCAGCCTTGTTTACAATTCGATTCGCTGCTGGCAGCTCGAGGATTGCCTAAAAATCACCAAATCCAAAAACATGACGTGCTGGCAGCATGTGCTGCCTGTGGCGACGACAGAGAGTGGGGGTGGCGAATGTGGCGAGGGGGAGCGGCGGGGGGAAGAGAGTGCTGGACGACGCCGTCGATGACGCCTGGCGGGGGGCTGCTCTGAGCGCTTTAGCTCTCGCTGGCTGCACTCTCTCGCTCTCACTCTCACTCTCTCTCACTCTCTCAGTCTCTGGCGGTCGGCGAAAGCTTTGAAAGTCTGCGTACTTATTGATTGCGTGTCCTTTTCTGCTCTCAGTCGCTCTCTGGCTGCCCGTGTGCCTGTGTGTGAGTGTGCATGTGTGTCTGTGTGCGTGCGACTCTCACTTGTTGTTGGCTATAAAGAAATTTAATAACGGTACTTTTCTGAGATTTCCAAAGCTTCTGCCTTTGCGCTTTGCCTTTGACTTTCGCCTGGCATGCGTTTGCGTGCTTTGGATAAATTTTTCACAAATTTTCATTTTCAGTTTTTCTCCCGACTGTTTTAGGGCGGTTCCGCAAGGCAGAGGCTAGCTACTCAGCCAGCATAGAACACAGCTTGGACGCGTCTCCCAGCACACTCTCTACGTATGTGTGTCTCTATGAGTGTGTTTGCGTATTTGTGTGTGCGAGCGTGTGTGTGTGTGTGAGTGTATGTCGGTGTGTGTGCGCGTGTTTGTGGCATTGTATTTGTGCGCGTTTGTGGGTCTGTGTACGAAAATTTGTTGCAAATCAAAAACAAATTCACAAAATACTTAACAACAATAAGAACAACACGCCAACAAATACCGAGACTTCTTACCAAAAGCGGAAATAAGCCAAAAGGGCAACAGTAGACTTAGATGTGGAGCGCGTGTAAATCGAGAGGCGAGCACATGAAAATATTATGACAAAAAAATGTTGTTATTGTGTCGGAGCACATGTGTGTGTGTGTGCGAGTGTGTGCTGGTGTTAGTGTGTGCGCATCTGTTAGACAAGCTTTTTGTGTTGTTGTGTGTGTGTGTGTGTGTAAAATTCAATAAAATGCGAAAATTGCAATTGGCAAAAGGCAATTACAACAAAAGCGAAAAAAAGAAAGCCATACAGCAAACACAGGCGCACACAAAGAGACACCGAAAGCACACACACACACACATTGCCATACACATGCAAATGACAGGACACACTGACACACAAACCGTAGAAGGCAGCGCCTTTTTGGTGTGCGCGTAGTTTTGATTTTCTCTGTGGCTCTGTGGCTTATTTTACCCACTGATTTTCGCAGCGCCTTTAACTTGCCTCTGTGTTGGTGCTCGGTATATACATGTGTGTGTGTGTGCGTGCGTGAGTGTGTGTCCTTCTGCTGCTTACGTACGCAGACTGACTGACTCGATGCGGCTGCCCCGAATGCCAGCCAGATCCGTCGCACAGCTCTGCGCCTTTCACTGCCCTGGGTCCATGAAATGAATGCGTATTCAATGAGCAATGAAATCCGTGACACATTCGCGCTTCAGTCTCTTGTTCTGTCCGTCTTTGGTGTTTGTCGCCTCGCCTCGCGTCGCCTTTCCCTTTCGCATTTTCCATTTAATTTATTTTTTATTACATTGCTCGCCTTTGTTCTCGGCGCTGTGGTCCGATATCCGCTTTGAATAAAGGCGACATTAACGCCATAACCTTTGGCATTTATCTCGAATCGTTTTGTCTTCTCGCAACGTTAAATGCTTTTCAAGTGCAAACACACACACACACACACACAGACTCACACACATGCACACAGATACAGGCAGGCATGCCACATGTGCGGTTACACTCTCACATTCATATAAACCTGTGTCCCTCCTGTGTGCGTGTGAGTGTGTGTGTGTGTGTTTGCATATATCCCTGTATTTTATGAAAGTATTTCACACATTTTGATTTGGTCGCTCGGCTTTGTTTCTGTTCTTGGCATTCGCATTGGCATTTCTGCCATGCACTTTAGCAGTTTTGCAGTGTTCTGCAGCCGGAAGAGGACGAATGCCAGCAGCGCCCCTCTGCCCGCCTAATGTGCTACAAATTGTTTGCGTTTCGCTTTAATTTTTTAACAGGTTTTCAATAATTGGCAGCCGTGTGCTAAATTCCATTGTTTAAACGTGCAAAGTGCTCGCGTGCTCGACTCAGACAACGAATATCGCAATATTATCATAGCATTGCCCAGCAGAAGCAGTAAAAAAGAAACACACTAAAGAACCTATCACAACTCTTATAACTCTGCCAAGTAGCATGCAGCAGCATGCAAGTGTGCCTTTTGAAAAGTTGAAATTAAAATAAAAAGAACTAAAGACTAACAAATCAAATAACTTCTTGACCCACAAAATTCAATATTAAGGAGCCGTCGATTAATATCCAGCGTGATTGATATAAGGTAAGCTAATTTGACATTTATTACCCATATCTAAATTCGTTTAAGGCTAGCTAAGATTTTCTTAGTAAAGCGGAATTCCCTTGATGCATATGATTTTCTAATAAGGTCTAGAGAGAGCCTAGTGATAAATTATAAATAATAATTATAAAAATAACAAAAGAGTTTTTGAAGTACACCATATATCTTTTTAAACATATTATTAGAATTAAAATAATAAATAATAATACAAATAAATATAATACTAATATAATCAAATTCAATATTGTAAGCCTTAACTAACGAACGAGTATTATTAAAAGGAATAAATATAAGTACTAAAGAAGCTTATGCATTTTCAAGTAGAGTTTTAAATGTTTTTTTTTTTTTTTCTTCTTTTCTCAATGTCCTCTGTCCACTCTATCACAATTATTAAAACAAGTCTTAAAGTTGTAAATATATATTCACGTAATTCAATATTTATTTAAATTTAAAAATGTCTTAAATTCATTAAGAGATTAATAATTTAAAATGTTTTTCTATTTTCAGTATTTATATTTTTCATTTGCTTGTTAAACTCATTGCTTTTACAAAAGCTTTTATCTAACACATACAAAACTTAAATTATGGCTTTCTTGTTTATAATTATTCATGATTTTATAAACATATATATACTGCTGACGTGACCTGGCCAACAGATTTTCTCATAGAGAAACTCTCCCTGGTGCCAACCCCTTTCTTCCATGTGTAGCAATAATTTAATTATAAAAGTAATCAAAGTACTTGGCTCACTCTCTGATTCATGTGCAAATTTGTATAGGGCGCACCTAAACTTTGAATTAAAGGCGCAATTATAAAAGCGAAAATACAATATAATACTTACACTGTGCCTGTACTCAAAACAATGTTTTGCCATGCAAAACAAAAAAGATAAACGAAACTCGATTTTTGTTTTCGATTTATTTCTTATGTTATGCGTAGGCGTCATAACAACATATCCATTTACGGATTAAACATACACGAAATTTCATAGCAACTTATCCTTTCTAAACAGCCGCTGGACGCACCGACAGACTCACACGCACACGCACACACACGCATAGATGGGCTCGAACCCTTTTGATTGAGAAGTGTAACATAATTTTAGGAGCATAGTCGCTGTCGGACGGCTGCAGAGTAAAATATGGTTTGGCATTTTGCAAAAAGTCTATTAATAAAAATAAGCAAAAATCAGTGCCCAACCCAAAAGAATTAACCCAGCTCAGCATTGAAAGTGCCGAGTGCCGAAAAATAAAGAAGCAAAACAGAAAAGCAAAACCAGAAAAAAAGTACAAAATAAAAAGAACGATATAAAAAGAAAAATATGAAGCCAAAAATGTTAAGCAACTAAAGTTCAAGGCATTGGCTCGTCGCGGCTTGCCCCGAGTGCGTTTACTTTAGCAATCAACCCGACCTCAAATTCACATAGCACACACACACACACACACACACACAGACAGACACACGCATACGGCCAGGAGGAGATATTGAGGGATTCTCGTTATTTGTATTATAAAAACAACAACTAAAGAGGCCGCAAAGTAAAATAAAGAAAAACCCTTTTCTTGTTTTCTCTGTTTGCCGTCAAAACGAATTTGGCACAGAAAAAGCAGTGCATTGGGTGCTCACTATATCTCTTTCTCTCTATGTGTGTGTGTGTGCGGTAGACAAATAAAACATTTGGCTTGTTTGCTGTTGGTGTTTTCAATGCTTAGTTTTTCAATTTTGCGAAACGAAATCAAATCCACAAAACATTTACACGCATGCACAACAAAAGACGTGCAAATTTTCACGTCAACAGGCAAGACACACACGCATCTACAGCACACAAACACAAATGTACATCGACAGCTGCAGATACACACAAATACACACACACACACACACACACACTATCACGTACTTAGGCAGCTGCCAAAAATGTGTAGCGCACATTTTGGGGCGCTTTCAGCATTATTTGCACCTTGCTATTCCTTTTTTGGTGGACCTTTTGTTGTTTAGCATTCCTCGCTTTCTTTATGTGCCGTTCGCGCTCTCTCTCTCTCTCTCTTCCTCTCTTACTCTTTCTCACTGCTGGGCTGTTTTGTGTGCTCCGTTTTGGGAGCAGCTTCTCCGTCGCCATGCTGCAACTTCAAAGCTTTGACTCCTTGTTGTTATTTAGTGCCTTGGCGTTGCTTTTTATGCGTTGTCCTGCCACACAAATTTTCTTTCGTATCTCACGGCTGGCGATTGTATCTGCTATCTGTTGTCTCTGAGCGCGCGTGTATGTGTGTGTGCGTGCGTATTTGTTGTGTATCTTTTGCTGAGTACGTGTGTCTGCCTGCCTGCTGCAGTCTTGAGGCTCTTTTATGATGTGCGCATAAAATATTTGTCATACTCCGAAATCTGACAGAAGCCCAGTATTGAATACTCTGCGCTGCCCGACCGACCGACTGACTGACTGACTGACTGACTGATGCGACTTACTGTGGCCTTCATTAATGTTCAGCTCGCAATCCTTTTTGCTTTTTTGGGGGGCCACGCCCCAGCTTGCATAACAAACGTATCTATGGCTCCATTCTAAGATATGCATGTATTTGTTTATCAATATTTGTCTGTGTGTGTAAGCATATGTATATATTCATTTAGTATATATGTATATGTATATTTTTGTATGTTTTGCATGCTCTGCGGCGCCTAACGAACTGTGTCACTTACACTTTTGACTTTATTGTCAAGTCGCGTCGCTTTCAATCTCGACTCAATTCGAGTCAGCTCGACTCGGCGTCCTCTCGCCCGCTGCTGCTGCTGCCGCTGCTGCTGATCCTTCCGTGTCAATGTGAAAATATTTGCCTCAATCCGCTTGACTGCATGCACGTATCGACGGCTTCGTCGACTGCAGGGCAGCCTCAGCCTCAGCCATTGCCTCCCGCCCTTTCGCTGGTGCCCCCATCTCTGGGTCGTCGCTGCGTCGCTTTGTTGACTTTTGCCCGGGACGCTTTGACGTCGATTACGCAAAGCCAATAATGAAATGACTTTGGGGTTTGATTGGCAAAACATTGCGGGCTACAAATGCGAACACCACATTGCCACTGCCGCGCCCACTGCCCACACCGTTGCGCCTCTCGGTGTGCTTGCGCTAAAATTCACGCTCTATTAATGGCGCTGTATATATGCGTATGTGTGTATGTGTGTGTGTGTCTGTAAGAGAGAGTCGAGTGTAGGCGCATTGTCTCTATTATACACTGTCAACATTGGCGCTTGGAGCAACCGCTTTGATTTGCCATTTTAATTAGCAATCAAACAACTAAAAATGCGCGTGCTCCATAAGCCCCTTTTGCTGTTTATTTCTGTGTGTTTTCCGCTTATATATATAAAGATATGTACGTATATATTGATACGTATATATGTTTCGTTTGTCGTTTCGTTCTTTTTTGTGTTTGACTATTACTTCAGGCCCCGCAGATCGAGAACGAGAACGAGGCCCATAAATAAACATTCGAGCACATCGCGTTTTTCTGACAATGTCTTTTTTATTTATGTGCGCGTTTATTTTGCCATAGGTATTGCTGTGTTTGTATTTGCTTACATATGCCACATACACACACACACACACACGGTCACAAACAATACACACACACACATGTACACAGAACTCGGTACGCAGAGCACATATCGAGCAGCATATTTGGTATTGTCTTGCCGGGGGGCATTTCACTCGCAGCTTTACTATGAACAACGATTGATTCCATTTTCCTATGAGATATACCTTTTTTTTTATTTTTTTTCCTGCTCTTTCATTTCAATATATTTTAAAGGGAAACACTGTTGCAGAATTAAAGGACATTTTTCGTCGACATTTTCGCATTTTGGCAACAATTACTTAATGCACTTGTCGCAGATTTCATCTCATTTTCAAATAAAATAAATATTTTTTGTGGCACTCCTGCTGAACATTTGGATTTCAATTAAAAGTGCCGTAGCGTAAATTTTTATCACATAGATTGTTTTTAATGTACTTCATTTTTTCTTTCGATTTACGTATGTGGCTTTTCGGCACACAGATTAAAGATAAACAAGCCGAACAAACCACAATTTCGTAAATAATTCCAATAGCTGAGCACATGAATTGGCATCAAAATAAATTGAAAATCAAATCAAATGATTTTTGAATGATCGATTTCGGTGCTCAGAATGTAAATTGAAGTCGTCGGCAGCTTAATTTATTTTAATTATCTAAAATGGCATAATCAATTTAATAGCAAAAAATTTCAAATCTAATGAATTTAAAAAATATATTCAATTGTTACTTTTATTATTCGAATTGAATCCTATTATAATTAATTTTAATATTAATTGAATTATTTCTTAACTGAAATCCTTTTTTAATTTTTTATAATAATTATTATATATTATTATTTTCATTTGAGAAGAATTTAAAAAAAATATATTTATTTTAGTATTTAGTCTGTGTATGGCTTTTTCCATCGAGTCTATTGCATTTACCTTCTGCAAATTATTCCCTTAGTTTCCGTCAGATTATTTTCATATCATAAAAATAAACATACATATATAGAAATCTTATCTAGTTTGTATCTAGCATAACATCTTATGAGAAAGAGAGACGTTAAAAAAAAAAAAAACAAGTAAGCACGTTGTTGTCAGGCGAAATACTCATGCACATTCTATCAGCAAAGTTTCGCTCTAATACTGTAGAAAATTCCAATCCGTAAAATGCATTTTCTGAGTTGCCACGCCCCTAGTGGGCGGATCGGGAAAACTTTAACACTTCATCAATTGAAGATACATATATGAGTATGTATGTATATACGAGTATGTGTTCCAAATTTCATGTATTTAGCTTCCATAGCGCCGAAAAAAATGCGTTCATACCGACAGACTTACATTGCATAAAACCAATATACTAATTCACTTTCGTGAATGAGTATAAGAAAAATTTAATTTTATAGATATTTTTATTGCTTCATATATGCAATTATAATTGA